ATGTGCCAATACAGCTAGATGCCATCTGTTCAGCAGACAGTAGGAGTTGGGCTATCTGGTGGGAATAAGAACAAAATTTACCTTTAGGTTTTGGTCACAACTTTGGAACAGAGCTAAAACTATACATAGCCTTTTAGAGCAACAGCTTCAAGCGGTGTATGATGCCCCTGCTACAGACAGAGCCTCTGACCAAGGCTTTGCCTGTCATGGTGAGAATTGGTGTACCTAAATGGGGGAATGTAAGGCCTATTTCACCAGCTCCAAAACACTGTAATGTAGACTGCTACTCTACATATGTGGTATGCATATTTATATACTTATATTTCAGTATTCTTTTCAACAGCTTGTTGACTTCCAAGCTGTGGACTATATTGGTACTAGTTACTTATAAAATTGCCTCATCATCTTAGGTGCAGGAGGGGTGGGACCAGTACCTAAAAATGCTTCTGTATTAGTTATAGTTGCTGTGAAAGAATACCTGATCTTATAGGAGACATACTAAGTTGTTGGTTTGGTTCTTGGGGCTCCAGTATGAAAGGTCGAATGCTTTTTGCATGACTATTCTTTGTCTCTTTTTATTCTGTGCCTCTACTGTTGCTGTGGATTCTGCTTACATGCTGGAAAAATGGTCTTGCAGCATGACCATTCATGATACTCAAACCCCTGTCAGACTCAGGGCACATTACAGAAGGGGTTGGGGTGTGAGATTGTAAGAGCCAGTTGAGGAATGGAATGTATGGATATAGCTTGACATGACTGCAGCCATCTTGAGCCTTAACTACCATGATACCCCTGAGTAACACCGTTTTTTTTCTTTTTCCTGCATAGTTTCCCAGTAAATGATAAACAGATTCAACTATTATAAGTCTATGAAAGGCTTTACCATTGAACCCTGGTTCTATGCATACACCTGACTTTCTGATGCTCTTTTAAGATAAATGAGGTACACCCCAGCCAGGGATGTTTCATCCTAACCTGCAAATGTATTGCCCTGGGCATCTAGGACCACACTTCTGCCAGTAGGTCTCCCAACAAAATGCATTCTGCACAACTCTAGATCTGATTCTTCTTGGTCAGGGCACCATGGAGCTGGTCCTCATACATTAGAACTGACCTGTTCAAAAACACACACTTATCACACTTATTCTCAACTCTCATATCTTTTAGCCAAGGTAGGTGTTGGAGCTTGAGTATGAAATGTTCCCCCACAGGCTTATATTTTGAACGCTTAGTCTCCAGCTGGTGACGCAGTTTTGGAAGGCTGTAGAAACTCTAGGAGGTGTAATCTTTCTGGAGGAAGTTGGTCACTGGGGTTTATAGCTGGACCACACTTGTCTGCTATACTTCTGCCAAGATGCTAGGATACTGGGAGGTGAGGAACCCCAGCTGCACCCACCTGCCACCATGCCTTCCCTTTCATGAGGGATTGTATCCCCTCAAACTGTATGCCAAAGTAGACCCTTAAGAGTTGCTACTTTTTGTTACCAGAGAAATAACTAATATAGTAGAATTATTATCAGGTCTGTGATTCTACTTTTTTTTTTTTTTTTTTTGGTCTTTTTGAGACAGGGGCTCCCTGTAGCCCCAGATGTCCTGGAACTCACTATGTAGACCAGGCTGGCCTTGAACTCAGAAATCTGCCTGCCTCTACCTCCCGAGTGCTGGGATTAAAGGCGTGCACCACCACATCCAGCCGATTCTAGTTTTAAACTTGTTTTTCTTTCTGATGAATTCTCAGGGGCAGTAAATGGAGAAAATTATCAAAAATGAGTTCAAGCTGTGGCCTTCTGAGGAAGACAGGTGACATCATAGGACCTTTATTTTAGTGTGAAAATAGTCTACATTACGTACAGTGTTCAGTTCCTCTGCAAAAACTGAGATGGAAATATAGATACAAAGAAAATATGCCAGAACTCAAACAAGATTATTAGTAACATCTGTGAAAATTAATCCAGTCTCTTGCCTGTTTTTGAACATGTTACCTTGGGGAAGAGCTGTGCTATAGACTTGGCTTTCTCAGAAACAAAAAGATGCTAATATTTTTCTTGATAATGACATTTGGTATTTATTATACAGAATTATTATAACATTCACAAGTTAATGGAAGAAACCAGCATATTATAAATGTTTGATTTATAAATGCTTTTCCATGGGGATGGAAGAAGATTAGCAGTAAGCAATGAAGGTTGCCATGTTGAACCATGAGACTTGGGGCAGGCCTAACATCTACTTCCTTTTATTGTTTATCAGATAATCTTTTCTCAAATTTTCTGCAATAACAGGGGAAAAAAATCAGATCTTTTTTCAGTGAAAATCGGACAACCCACAGCTCTTACATAAGTCTTGGAGTTACAATATTCTCTTTTGAGACATGAAATCATTTAAGGACTTAATGAAAACTATTGCCTGCTGTCATATGTTAAAATCTCAAGATAGGTCTACCATTGCTCAAGTTGTGTGGTTGGCTATAACTCTCCCCACATCAGCTAACAGTATATTTTGTTTTATGACTTCATACCATATCCTTCATACCATCTCCTAAGGCAAGAACACCCTCACCCCTGATTTTCTTTTTTTTTTTTTCCTTCAGTATGAGGGGTTGAAGATAGGGCCTTAGGCATGCTAGGCAAGTACCTTACCATTGAGCTACATCTCCAGCCTCTCACCATTCTCCTTTAAAATCTTAACAGGAAGTGGATGAACTTTTAAATAAATCCTCCCAGTAGAATAAATTATTGTCTAGAAGAAACAAAAACAGACCTCTACCTTCATATCTAATTCAGGAAAGTATGGACTAAACATCTAAACTTTAAAAGTAAAATCTCAAACACAGTAGAATGTGTCTAGAGTTAGGAAACTACAAGAAAGGCAAGAATTTCCAAGGATGCAAGGCAAAGCAGGCATCCTTAGCCACCTAAGATTTTTAAGAATTATCATGGTTCATATATATTATGAACAGAGTGAAAAGATAACGATGTGCAAAGAAAATATTTGTCATACATGACATGTGAACTAAAATTTCCCCAGTGCAGACATTTTTAAGAAAAATACAGCTCATTAGAAAAAATGGGCAGACCCACCCCTAGCTGAGGAGCTATTGACTGTTGATGGCTGTCTGGGGAGAGAGAGTCAGCTTTTTTTAAGGGTGTGGCCAGTGCTCCAGTGGATGACCCCACACCCATGAGTTTACAGGCAGCCTAGATTGGACTCCGCCGGTTATATTAAAAGACAAAAAGAGGACGTGAAGTTGGGAGGGGGATAAAGGGTGAGGGGGATCTGGGAGGAGTTAGGGGAGGAATTTGGGGTGATTATAATCAAAATACATTGTATACATGTATGAAATTCTCAGAGAATTAATAAAATTTATATGAAAAAATGAAAAAGAAAAATGGGCAGATAAACTAGAAATGTAGAGTGACCTGGAAAAGATGAAAAATGACTTTAAAAAGTCACCACCAGTGCAGATGCCACAAATTCAAATGATAAAGTTTCAACCATCAAATTGCCAAAATTCAAGACACTATCAATAGAAAGGATATTTATTAAGTGGTCATTTTATCCCAAGAACTTTATGTAGAATATCTCATTTAGTATTCACAACATTTCAAAATAGATGTTTTTAAGGAATGGCTTAGCTTCCAAGTGGTAGATAGAGCCCAGATCTAATCCATGCATTCTGATACCTAGAGCCCAAGTTTTGTACCAACATGCCTGGTGTTGATGGGCAGCTAGGAGCTGGACAGTCTCACACATAGCCTTGTGTGACACTTTAAAACTTCAGAATACTGTGGAAATAGATTATTTTTTTATTTTTTGAAGCAGGGTCTCATGTAGCTCAGGCTGGCCTTGAATTGGCTATGTAGCCACATATGATTTTGAACACCTGATCTTTCCTCCTCCACCTCCCTAGTGCTGAGATTACAGTGTGCACTACCATGCCTGGTCTAATTTTAAGAACTTATTCCCTTTATCTTGCCATCCCAGAAATAAGAAACCACCAAGATCACCACATTGCTTGCCTATTTAGTAAATTTACTTGTAAAACTCACTGGGCTCAGTAGCGAGGTTTTTTGTTTTTTAAAACCTTATGTTGTATTTGGTTGTGAATTTTACTTTTCTTAATGGTTTAATACTGTACTTTCAGCTTCTGTTCATTCTTTTCTTTTTTTTTTTGTCTTTTTGAGACAGGGTCTCCCTGTAGCCTCAGCTGTCCTGGAACTCACTATGTAGACCAGGCTGACCTCGAACTCACAGGGATCCACCTGCCTCTTGTTGTATTTGGTTGTGAATTTTACTTTTCTTAATGGTTTAATACTGTACTTTCAGCTTCTGTTCATTCTTTTCTTTTTTTTTTTGTCTTTTTGAGACAGGGTCTCCCTGTAGCCTCAGCTGTCCTGGAACTCACTATGTAGACCAGAGGCTGACCTAACTCACAGGGATCCACCTGCCTCTGCCTCCCAAGTGCTGGGATTAAAGGCGTGTGCCACCACGCCTGGCTTGTTCATTTTTTTTTAAATTACATTTTATTATTTGTTTATTTTATGTATGTGTGGGGACAAGTATGTGAAGGCCAGAGGACAGCTTGCAGGAGTTGGTTCTCTCCTTCCACCATGTCAGCTCTGGGGGTTGAGCACAGTCATCGGGCTTGGCAATAAGCACCTTTACCCACTGAACCATCTTGCCAGCCCTGCTGTTCTTGAATTAGTTTGGGTAAATCATGTCTTTCCACAACGTCCTCTGTGTCTTACTAAGTTTTTGTTTTTGTTTCCCTGTTCCCCATCCACCCTTTTTCATCTGCCTAGTGAGACTGATACTAGGACAGAAGACCCAGGAATGACCTGGGCACAGCCCTTCCACCCCCAAAATTCCCATCTACTCTCTGAGGGTCTCACCTCCTTTCCCTTTGTCCTCTGCTTCCTTACTAGCACCTCTGCATCAGGCATAATCAAGATTGTATCAGCCCAAGGGAAGGATTTAATGATGACCAAATAAGACACAAATTAATAATTGATACATATATATCTTTTTATTATGCACAGATAAGGGACTTAAAACTGTGGTTATCAAAACTATACATCTAAGCATGTTCACAAAGACGCCGACTCACTGCACAGAAGAAAGGTTACAGCAGGGGTGTTCAAACTGGCCACAGGATTTTCAGGGAACTCTTTTACCCTCATAGATGATGAAAAAACAGTAATAAAATCAGGCTCATTCAGGAAAAACCAGAAAAGTATTGTGTTTGCAAACTGATAATAGTCCTTTTTTTAGAAAAACATCTGTCAGTTTCATGAACAACCCCCAAGATAAAACGAACAGGGGAAAAAAAGTTGCAAACACGACTCACCCAACAAAATGCGCTCTGTTAACACAACCACCAGTACAGTCATCATTCAAAACCATGAGGTAGTTACAGAACAAAAAGACGGGCACGCGCCTGCGCACCCCATACACATTCAGTCATGCCCGCCAAGAATACACACAGGAAATGGATTTACAATCTCATTACCAGACAAGGAAAAGACCATTTTGTGTTTAGAAAAAAAAAAAAAAATGCTGCAGGAATCAGCTTGGGCAGAAGACAAATCTGACTTTTGAAAATGCAGTGTTAACAGCTGGCGGACACCACAATGGTGCAAAGCTCTGGGATGTTATGCAGATAGTCTGCCTTGGACTTTAGAATATTCTAGCACAGCTTCAATATTAACAAACAAGACAAAATGGCCTCTGCAGTTCACGGGTGTCACCTGCAGAGACACCTCAAGATTTTGCAGAGACAACTGGGCTCAACTAGGAAATGACAGTTTAAGGGAACTTGCAGAACATGCTAGAAAGTAGAGTTTGCACTTTGTATTAAATCCATAAAGGATGAAGAAGCGATCAGAATGCTGTTAATAGTGGGCTAGGGAGGAAACAACTATTTTTAATGTTAATTTTTTTAGAAATATTTCAGAAATAGTTAACGACATTCATTCTCCAAGATGGGATCAGGTTTCTTGAGTTGAGTAATACTCTGACAAGGAGACCCAAAGAAATAAAAGGTGATTTTTTTTCTCTCTTTTTAAAAAATCTTTGATTTGCATCTCATAAATTTGTAAATTAATTTAAGATTATTTATAAAATCATTGGCAATGTAGCATCTCTCTCAAAAATATACATTTAAATATATCACAAAACTTTTTTAACCCTGTCCATCTAAGAAATGAATCTTTTAATACTTTCTCATAGCTAATTTTATCAAGATGGAAAAGGGTTTGGTTTTTTTTTTTTTTTTTAAAGAACTGATCAGAAGAATTCACAGTAACTGAAATTAAACATTTCATATGGAGTAAGTTAAAATTTATCTAAAACATTTAAATATATCTTTATACAAAATTTTTGTAGTAAAATATAGCTATAAGTGATTTAAAGACTCTAGTCTTCTTTGAAGACATCTTTAAACATTTTTTATACATAGAATATGCTAAAATACATTCTGCTGAAGGTTAGGCAAAGCGCATTATTTTCAAACACAGGTAGCGTAATCTAGGTCCTCACAATGATACCTTTATGTTAAAAATCAATTAACTAGAGACAAATATTTCTCTAGTCCCACATCTGCATTTCATACATGGTAATCTGAAGTATTTTCAACATATCAGCCCAGATCTCTCAGCCCTGAAGGTATCTGCTTTGGTTTAAATGATCCCAATTGAATAAATGATGTATTACCTATCAAGAATAGCTGTCTACATCTACCTCATCTGTCAGACTTTTACTCAGTGACCAATAATGACTATCTCTACTTGCTATATTTTGAATTGCTACATTTCTACTGAAGCTTCCATTCAGAGAGGAACAGGTGCAAGTGCCTTTAAGGATAGTGAGATTTGCTTATGAGTATTTTGGGATAGGCTCTAGCTTGTTTTTCTTAGGGAATCTTTAGTTGTTTGGGGGGGAATTCTAGAAGTGATAATGCTCAATTTGCAGCAAAGCTATCTTCCACAAAAATGATTCTGCATGCAGATTCCCCTCGGGGCTCCGTTTTAACATAGAGGTATCACTGCACTAGATATATCTGCAGAGTGGCTTCATATTATTCTGTTTAGTGACATTCACCTGACATGCTTTTGAGTTTAAGATCCATTACAGTTATTGCCCTTCTCCTTATCTCTGCCCTGTCTGGGCAGAATTTGTGACACTGTTTCAGATAAGCTACTGGAATCAGAGTCTCCATCTATGAGAGTTTGGTTTTTATAAAAGGGCTTATTAGAAAGGTTGGTGTTTTTTGAGTGGAAACATTCACTTCTATCACAAATAATTTAAGAATAAGTTCCAACTTTGGAAGCATAAAATAGTTTTTAAAAGGGAAATGAGTCTCTAATGTACCAGATGACATTACAGACTTGTGCTTATATACCCATACACACATCACCTTGCAAGGTCCCCTGCTTACCATTGAACCCCTTCCTCCCAATTTAGAGGTTAATTTATGAGGACAAAAATGTCAGAAATAGGCACAAATCCACTGTTACACACTTTGGCCACTTTCAATTTCAATTGGCCTATAAGAAATATAGTTTGCCTTAAGACATTTTATAGCTGGTGTGTGTGTGCCTGGAGAGAAACAGGAAGCTGACAAGGGAATCAGCATTAGTTTGGCCCAAGAAAGGAATGTTGCTTTGACAAGTGACAGGGTGCAGTCCCCCAGGGCAGCACCCAGCAAGCCACACACGGAACCCCACATGGTGTGGCAGGTCAGAAGTAGACATCCAGAGAGAGCTGAGTAGATGTGAAGGGGCCTTAAAAAGCCCCAAACAACTGCTTTTTACACCTTGGTTGATCTAGAAGAGAACTTTGGCCACATCCACTGGATCTATTCTCTGGTTATCAACCATTTACCATCTCCTTGACTCTGGGTAAAACTAAGGAACCCAAATGATGGATGTTCTCACTGGACAAAGCAGCATTTACAAACAACTGGCATATGTTTCACATTGAAAACCCCCAGCCAGTGAGAGGCTGGTGGAGAGGGCCAGCAGCTTAGCTTCTGCATGTGAATCCTAGTGTGTTATAGATGCCCAGGGGTCATGTTTATATTGGCTGTAGTGAGGGGTGAATACAACAGGTGATCTTTATGCTCACATTCACTCTCTCTTTACAGGGGAACCCAAATCAAGCCTTCCGAGTCTGGGCATGCAGCGCTGGCATTCGGCCCTGCCCTTGGCAGTGGTGTGGTGGCTGGTTTTGGCTAGGCTGTGCTGCTGCTGGAGCAGGGCGTGCTCTGTGTGCTGCCGATGCTGTGGGCCGCACTGCTGTTTTCCGAGGCTGGTGGTGAAGTGGGGACTTGCTGTCTCCGGGCTGTCTCCCCTGCAGTTAATATAGACATGTTACACACGTGAATTGTGGAAAGAACTTGGCCGCTTCCTTCTCCATTTTACCAGAAGCTTTTCTCAACTACAGACAGAAGTGACTAGCCCAGGTCTTGGATGGTGAGAAGACTTTATACTGTAAGTTTTTACAGTTTGCTCTTGTTTTGTAAGCCAAAAAGAAGGTTTTTTATCTGGCTAGTAGGCAGATATAGTACCTAAGGCCTCTCTGATGGCTGATGACAACCTGCATTCCAGGGCTTACAAATCCTCGGAAATATCACCAACATCTAGCAGGGATGTCCAACCTTTTGACACTGTGAAAAAAAGTTCTCATTCAAGAACCATACAACTGAGTTACAAAAAATAATCACATAATGTTTTAAGTTTACAATTTTGTATCCTCTCACCTTAATACTAGGGATGGAACCCAGGACTTTGCACATCCTAAGCCTGCATATATACTCCTGAGCTATTCACAACCCCCGAGGGCTTGTGCTTAGAATGCCTTGTTTAAAACTGGGCTAGTGAAGTCAGAAACGGCTTTGTATGCCCAGCACACAACCTTCCTGAGAAATGGTGGTTGGGAGGGGGCTGCTGTGGGAAAACTCTTTGGGGAAGGGGCTTAAGCTGTTTGCACATGGGGCCTGTAGTGGTTGCCAGCAAACACCCGCTTTTAATGCCAAGGCTCGCTGTTGAGTGCGATGTGAGTATCTCCTAACACATTAAGCATCTCCACTTTTCATTACACACCCCACTGCATTTCAGCTAAACCCACTCCTGGTGCCAAATGTGCAACGCTGTGGAGAGGGAGGAAAGCTTGGGCCACACATATGGTTTGCATTTAACCATGCAAGAGGCCTTACAGTTAGTCTTCTCTACAGTAAACCAGGACTCAAGAAGAAAAAAACAAAAAGACTCTAGGTAGGGGAAGTGATGGGAGCTCTCCAGTGAAAAATGGCATTTTCTTTGAAGACTCAGAGCACAAACTTCATAAACTTCTTATAAACAGTCCCCGCACCCTCCAATGTGGGAAGCCCCAGAGGGCCAGGTTTGTTTATGAGTTAAGCCTCTTCTTTCCTGTCATGCTGAAATACACATCTATCAGCGGGCGATAAGCAGCCTCGCCTTCTGTTTGTAAAGCCAAACACACCAGCAAAGGCTCTGCCCTCTGAGCAAGCCCAGAAACTGAAAGTTATACTGCTATTCCCTTCCTGGGGCCCCTCAAAAAATCTCTGCCAGAAGTGCAGATCTGCACAAAGCAGATGTGGCTCATGGCCCCAGGTCCGGTTTCAGTTTTCCCTGACACTGTTTTTATGAACCAGAGCCCCATAGCTTTTGCATCCTCCTCAGAGTGCTTGAGGGTAAGGGGTGCATTTGGTCCTCCTGTTTCCTCTAATTATCTTTTCTTCTGGGACTGGAGGGATGGAGAGGGGAAGGGATCAGTATTCCCAAGGAGCAGGGAGACAGCATTTTTGTACTCTTTGCTAGAAATCTCTATTTTGGTCCTTCTTCGGATTTGCCTCTTACTCTTCAAGCATGTGTATAATTTAGGATGCAAAGCCTCAAGGGCTGTAACTTTTCACCAAAAATTTATTTTCCCCAAAGTGATAAATTATTTCTAGAAAAGAATTCAATCGTTTTCTTCTTTCCTTCCCTCCCACCTCTTCCCACCCCTTCATCCTTTCCTTTTCAGTGCTGGGGATTGAACCTGGGCCTTGTACATGATAGACAAGTGATGTAAGTAAGCTACATCCTCAGCCCACTATTTTGATGTGTGGACACACACACACACACACACACACACACACGCTACAACTCACATAATAATTCATATTTAGCTGGATCCTCATGTTACCGAAGAGAAGGACTAATGCGGCCATACGTAAACCACATTTTATTTATTCAGCTATAACCCCAACCCTGGAACCACATTTTAAGAATCTCCTCTTCCAATTTAAATAAGGACACATTAGACAATCCGGAGATTTGTCTGCCTGGCCGTTGGGCTCTGCTGGCCTTGTGTGCTCAGCCTTGCAGCCACTGAAGCAGGATGGCTTTGCTTCTCCAGCAATGGCACACATGTCTGTCTCCTCCAGAACATGATGCTTGCTTGATTATTCACATTCAGGAAAAATGTCAGTACCATGCCCTGCCCAGGATATCTGCTTTCCGGTGGAGGTTTGCCAAATAGAATTTGTTGCTGTGTCTGTTTATTTTAATCAGTGCCCATTAAAAAGAGATCTTGTAATTTGTAGAGTCTTGGAAACACAAAAGTGCTGCTCAAAGTAAAGCCCCAGAGAGAGAGAGAGAGAGAGCAAGAGCCTAGACTCAGGATTTCAGGCTCTTTCCCCAGTGGGTGAGTCCCATTAGTCTGATAGTCAATGAGCTGTTGTATCAAGAAGAAGCTGTTAGAGAATCTGCTTGCAAATACTGAGAGCCCGCCACAGATCCTGGAGCAACGTGGCTAGCTAGACTAACTGAATCTGTGAGCTCTGGGTTCAAGTGAGAGGCCCTGACTCAAGGTATAAGGCAGTGGGCAAGCCAGAAAGACACCTGACATCAACCTCTGACTTCCACATACATTTGCATGCATGTGTATGTGCATCCCCCCATATATGCACTCCTCACAAGCAAACACATAAACATGTACATAATACACATACACACTCAAGGAAAAAAGACAAAACCCTGTCCACAGACTCTACCTTCTGCCTCTGTGGCCATTTTTACATGTAAAAACCAAAGATTTCTCAATATAACCAAACTGAAAAAGTTTATCTTCAGACAAATTAGGACTGGGCCCCTCTTTATCAGATGTGCTACTATAGAAAAGTTCATGAAGAAGGACGTTTAGAGCACCAGTGCTTCTGCTTGCAAAGCCAAGTGTCCTATTTCTGGAGTGGGGTCTTTGGCTTTCTGTTCCCCATCACAGGGACACTGGCTTTGTAGAGCATCAACTTCCTCTAAAATATCCCTTGGGTACTCTAGACAATACAACCAGGCATCCCCTGGAGATAGGCTGAGAGGACCTCATGGCTAAATAGAACAGGTCCAGTTAAATAGAGGCTCGGGGAAGCCTTGTGACGCACAGCAAACTTAGCCGTCAGAGGCAGTGCATTCAGTCTTTGTGCTGCTAAAATCTCACATGGAGGAAAAGAGATCTGGGGAGGAGGAAGAGTAAGCAGGAGAGGGGTGTGGAAGGTGAATAGCAGGGATGACTGCACCTATCTCACTACCAGCCATGGTTGAGCCTAGGTGATGTCAGATCTTTTTTACTTTAAAAATTTTTTATTATTTTTATTAATTATTTTATGTGTATGCATGTATTGCCTGCATGTAGGTAAGTGCACCCATGTCGTGCAATGCCCTCGGAGGTCAGAAGAGGCTGTCGGATCCCCTGGGACTGGAGTTAAGGACAGTTCTTAGCTGCCATGTGGGTGCTGGGATTCAAACCCAGGTTTTCTACAAAAACAACCAGAGTTCTTAACCCCTGAGCCATCTCTCCAGCCCCCATCAGATCTTTTAAGACAAAAACATATCTTAAAGAAGAATCTCCTTTCTTTAGTGTAACATAGTATTGTCCAGATATGATTCTTTTTTTCAGTAAATAATAAATTCTACTTTAACGATAAATATCCGTCACAACAATATTAAATTGTTCAAGACTAGATTGAGAACTGAATTATTATAGATGTTGAATTTTGAGCCCAGTGGCTCAAATAGGGGCTTTATTTTAGGAGTGGCTTTAAAGGAATCTGTTATATTAATGGGAACTTCCTTAACAATGAATTCAGCAAATGTTTCTTTCCTAAGCATTTAATTACCATGGGCATTTAAGATAAAAATTCAGAGTTCATCAACATTATTTGACTTAAAAAGAGCTATCGTAAGAATAGATCTTTTGTTTGTTTGAGACAAGGTCTCCCTTTGTAGCCCCAGCTGGCCTGGAATTTAACTATGAAGACCAGGCTGGCCTCAATCTCAGAGATCACCTGCCTCCGCCTCCCGAGTTCTAGGATTAAAGGCGTGTGCTATCAGCCTAGCAGATTAAAAACAATTTTAGATTGAATTTTGGGATTTTTTTTCATGCAGTATAATTTGAGGGTATTCTGATACCCTCCTGTACCCACACCTTCCCTTATTGCGCCCTACCCAATTTAATGTACTCTGCTATATAGAGTGAGTCTGACTTGTGTCCCCAAATGTCCTTCAGTGTGGATCCTTCCACTGGAATATGGTTAACCTACCAAAAGTCCCATTCTTGAAAGAGACTGTCTCTTCCCCCATCCAGCAGTCATTGGTTCCAAATGACTTATTGCTATACCCATAGATTAATGCATCTCTCAGTTCTCACCAGAGAAGTTTCCTTATGCAGCAGATGGTGATTAACCAAGAAACCCACCACTGGCCAATGTGCAGAGAACAAGAGGGTGCAGAGTGCTAATCCCTAAATAGGACACCTGTATCAAACTTCTGCCTCCCCAGGCTCAGGGATCTATGCAGAGGGAGCAGAAAGATTGCAAGAGCCAGAGGTGGTGGATGATCACAAAGACACAGTTTTCCAGACAGCTAGGCAGTTACTACTCACATGAACTCACAGCAATGGTGACAGTATGCACAAGTCCTATATAACCCCAAATCGGACAAAATCCTAGCATAGACATGGGAAAGTGGGTAAGAAACCCCAAACTAACCTAAGGAACTTTTGGCAACAGACCTGATTTTTGCTACTTCTTGGTAGTCTACTTTACCATTAAATTCTTTAAAAAAAATTATGTCTGTCTATATGCATGTACATATGAGTGCTTGTGGAGGCCAGAGGGGATATTAGATCCCATGTAAATGAAGTTACAGATAGTTGTGAGCCATATGATAGGGTGCTAGGAACCAAATTCTGGCCCTTTGCTAGGGCAAAGTGCTTAGGGCTTAAGCACTAAGCTACTTCCCCAGTCCCCACAAGTGGATTCTTATCTATAAGTCTTTTGCCATGTAGGGTCC